CTCCTGAATGCTGGGACTAAAGGCATATCCCGCCATGTCCAGCTATTGAAGTATTTTTTACTTGTGAATTAAAAACATTTTTATTACTTTATTTTGTATTGTGTGTGTGTGTGTGTATGTGTGTGTGTGTGTGTGTGTGTGTGTGTGTGTGTGTGTGTGTGTGTGCCACAGCACATATATGGAGGTCAGAGGACAATTTTTGTGAGTTGGTTCTCTCTTTCCACCATGTGATTCCTGGAGATTGAGCTTAAGTTGTCAGACTTGGGGCAGGCATGGTGGCAAAAGGTTTGAACCTTTTACAGGCTTAATTCATAAAATATAAATGTAGGATATGGCCCGTTTCAAATGGTGGTCATGTAATGGCCCATCTTGAGCAAGGCTAGCTGACTGTTAGCTGTTTTGCATTCATGATGTGACCAGTGCTCTCATTGGTGATTTTATGGGTGTAGCCAACTCCATCTCCATTAACTCTAGAATGCTACAAATGGGGACAGTCTTGTTCAGTTTGGGGATTACACTTGGTTTTCTCAAAAAGGTCTTAGTATGGGCCTGGGGATGATGCTCAGTGGTAGAGTGCTGCCTGGCATGTTGAGGTAGGTCCTAGGTTTGTTAAGTTTGGTTCCCTTGTACCACCATCACCGCTATCATCACCACCATCACTTGGGGGGATGGGGGATGAGGTGGGGCAAAAAGGCCTCAGTAGCTAGGCATGGTGGCTAAAGTCTGTAATCTCAGCACTTGGGAAGTTGAGTCAGGAGGATGGCCGTGAGTCTGAAGCTTGGGCTTCACAATGAGTTTGAGGTCAGCCTGGACCACAGAGTGAGTTCCAGGCCAATCTGGGCTACAGATGAGACCTTGTCTCAAGCCAAACAAAACTCCCACACAATCCTAAGGCCTAATGATGTAACTCAGAAGCAGAGTGCTTGTCTAACATGTGCAGGACTCTGAGATTGATCCCCATCACTGAAAAAGAAAAAAAGGAAAAGAAAAAGAGGTCCCAGTAAAACTGTGAAATAGTAAAAAAAATCAATTTGAAATCCATCCTCTGTTGTAAGGTTAATATAATATAATTAATAAAAATGTGACACCTTTTTGCCGATTGTGTCTGTTGTTCTAGCATTTACCATAAAAAACACAGGATTGTTAGGAATTTTATCACAGGTTAACTTGTTGGTATGGCAGTACAGGACAAAGCTCATCAGAACAAGTGCCTCAGATTCTTCTCAGTATAAGTCAAGCCCCAGCAGTGTCCAGCTATGCTGATGTGGGTTGGTGGGATTAGTGGGGTTGGTGGGGTTAGAGGGGTTGGTCAGGTTAGTGGCTTTGGTGAAATTGGTGGCATTGGTGGAGATGGTGGCATTGGTTGCTTTGGGGGTGTTGGTAGCATTAGTGGGTTGGTGATATTGGTAAGTTTTGTGGGCAGTTTTGAATGCAGCCGGAGGTCGCTGTTTTATTCTCTATTCATTGATTTTCTTACTCCTTCAGCAGATATTCCCTGAGTATCTGCAGGATACAACTTTATTGAGGTGTAATTTACATAATATAAAAATCTACCCCTTGTAGCATACAATTCAGTGATTTTTTTAAAAATAAGATAGGGTCTTATGTATCCCAGGCTGTCTTCAACTGGATAAAAATCTGAAGATGGCCTTAAGCTTCTGATTCTCTTGCCTCTATTTCCCAAGGCCTGAGATTACAGGTCTGTACCACTGCACTTGGTTTATGTGGTCCCAGGGATCAAACCTATAGCTCTGGGTATGCTAGATAAGCAGTATACCAGCTGAGCTGTAGCTCAAGCCCCTGTGACCACAACTCAGTTCCAGAACATTTCCAGCATCCCTCTAAGTTCTCTCTGCCAGTGCAGTTCATGCCTGATTTCAGTCCAGCCCTGTACCTCTACATGTTGCCTTTCTGTTTGTTTCTGTCTTTCACCCTTTCTGGACATTTCATGGAACCATATTCTTTGTGGTTTGGGTTTATTTATTTGTTTTGGGTGGTATCTTGCTATGTAGTCCAGGCTAGCCTGCTACTTACTCTGTAGCTCGGGCTAACCCCAAACTCATGATTCTTTTGCTTCAATGTCCCAAGGACTGTATTTATACACATGCACCTAGCTTTGGGTCTTTTTAATGTAATATTTTCAATTTCATCCACGTTGTGATGCATCTGTACTTTATTCCTTTTTTTTTTTTTTTTTTTAAGTAGTATTCCATTGTAAGACTATATCACATTTTGGCCAGGTATGGTGGCACACGCCTTTAGTCCAAGCAGAGGCAGGTGGATCTCTGTGAGTTCAAGGCCAGCCTGGTCTACATAGTGAGTTCCAGGTCAGCTGGGGCTACAGGGAGACCCTGTCTCAAAAAAAAAAAAAAAAAAAAATCACGTTTTATCTGTTCATCCCATGAACAGCTACATGCATAAAATTGGGGGTGATTTTATTGACTGCTGCTTTTTTTCTTTTTTTGGTGCTGGGATTAAAGGCGCACCATACCTGGCTTGGCTGCTTTTTAAAAAACTAAAACACTCATTGTGATTAAGTACTCTACTCATTAAAAGCATGTCCCAGTTTATTAATTTGGAATGGAAGTTGGATGTGATAAAATGCCATTGAGGCAGCCAGTCTTCCATGATGAAGCTAATGAGTATTTAGCAGAGAGCATTCTGGGACATAAAGACTCAGACTGCATGAAAGCAGGTGCTCCTTGTAGGAATTAGCACCTCACGCAGAAAGGCAGGAAGCAGTGGAAAACCTTTGCTGACATGGTCACAGGGCAGTGTCTTCATAGTGTGTCCATGACAAGCTAAAGGGTAGACTGGTGTGTGCAGGCAACACCCCTCCTCCCTGACTCCCTAGTCATCGTTGACTTGAATTTGAATTATAAATTATATTAGCTCCCCTCGAGAGGCATCTCTTACCAAAATGTGCATCAAGTCTATACTCTGCATTCTTGGGAGGAAGGATCACACTCCCCACAATGCAGGGCAGCTCATGGGAAACAGGAAGAGAGTGTGTGGAAGTAGGATCAGTACAACACAGAGTTGGAAGCTCTGCCTTAGAAAGAAGCTCAGAGTGAAGATATACCCGGGAAGGCTTCCTGGAGGAGGGAATAGTTGAGGACTTTTCCATCACCAGTAGATATAAACTCAGTTCAAATGGAGCGGTGCAAAGGGGACCCAGAAGGCTTATTAACATTGAATGGCCTCAGACAGGTGTAGTGCTCACCTGAATTCTTCTGCTGCATTAGTGACCTGTGGGCATTGGGGAAACAGTGCTGCTGATGCAACCCAAGCCTCAGATCCTGAGCTTCCTGCTCACCTGCTAGCCTGCATTACATTCCTCTTAGGGGCCTGATTTTATCTCCAGCTGGCTGAGCAGTTTCTGACCTATGCTTTGGAGCCAAGCAAACTACCAGGGATTGTTAAATAGATGAGATGGTTGTTTTTGTAGAGAGTCATTTTAAGCTAGAGTCTTTGGTTAATTACAGAGAAACCTAAACACAGTCTGGTTGTTTTTCCTAAGACAGGGCCCTGGTCTGGCTCTGTTTTTGGTCACTGTGGATTTCAGGTACTTCTGGTGGTGGTCCCAACTTTCAGGAAGCTCTCAAATGTATGCCTGCCTAGCTATGTTGAGGAAGTAGCAAATGCATAGCTACTGTTTAAGAGAGACCTCCAAATAGTGTTATTTCAGTATGGGGTGGATTCTGGGACCCGCACTTCCTTAGCACTAGAAAAGCACGTGTGAGTACAGGCTGAGTACCAGGCCTAGGCTAGGAAGAAGTGGCCCCAGGAAAGACTAGATAGGAGGTGGAAAGCAGAGGCCAGGTGTTGGCTTTGGAGACAATAGAATCTGCCTCTCCAGGTCTCACCATGGTGATGGGGCAGCTGGTTTGCTCCACCACCCACAGAGTGACAATTGGCTGGACTATTATTACTGCAGGTGTAGCAATGGGTGGAGCAGGGCATCCTTGGAATTAGGCAAAATTGAGCCAGGTGGTGGTGGACTAAGGGCCTTTGCCCTGGGCCACTCCATCTAATCTGTGGCCTCTTTGCCATATTGAGGTCATAACTTCAAGACTACAAGATTGGGTCACAGAATGTCACCCTGGTCTTGCCCATCTTCACCTACCAAGTCACCCTGGCTTATTTTCTTCATAGTTTTCAGGAACTGAAATGGTTTCCTTATTTTTCTTGTTTAGAATAGTGTAAAGGTGGTATGATAGAACCCTTTCCTGTCTTGCTTTCACCTTTGTAACCCCAGAGCCCAGGACTGGGCCTGGCACACAGGAGATAGGCTGAGTTTCTTAGTACTGGCTGTGAGTGGCAACACTCTGAAGGCCTGGGCAGAGGCCCAGCAGTCCTGGGAGAATCTGAGAATTCAGTGACTGTGCTGTGACTTCATCTCTCCACAGATATGTTCCCAAATCTCTCATTTCTTTGCTTATTGAGCAATAAATTCAATTAAATGCACAGCAATTGTAACAATTCAAAATCCTGTCAACTCTAGATATGAGTTCACGATGTTATCTCTTATAATACAATAAAGAACAAGATCGGAATTCTTATTATTTTTAGTGTAAGTAACAGGCCATGAAATTATACAATGTTTCCAATTTGGCAGGCTGGTGAATTCAGTCTCTGAAAATGTCATCTTGCTTGGTAAACTATATGTGATATGAATTAAGAGTTGAAATGTGTGAATTGGATACAGTTAACACCCAACTCTTCCCCACAGGGACTGATTGGTTTGGAAATGGGCTTTCAGTCTCCTCTGGCTGTCACCATGCCCCTTTTCCCTGTTCTCCTGTATTGTTTCTGTAGAACATGGCGAGGCTTCAGGGCATCCCTGACTTATGTCAAATGAGTATAAATGGGGGTGGGGCGGGTAGGCCGCCCATGACCACTCCCAAGCTTGCCTGCAAATTGGTGTCTCCTGAGATCCACACCTTGGCAGCTTACTTCCCAGGGTGAACTGATGAATTCCTGCTTCTCTTCTCCCGAAGGGTCACCTGTCTGTGTGCTCAGTTTGAAGCTGTCCTTCAGCATGGTATGAAGAGGAGCAGAGGATTAGCGCTCACGGCGGCAGCCATCAAGCAGGCAGCTGGCTTTGCCAGCAAAACAGAGACAGGTACCCTGATGCCCACTTTTCCATTATGTTTTCTGTTATGATGTTTATTTCTCTGTGGTGGGCAAGGTACTCATTGTGTGCGGCTGGGCTGTGTGTTTGTGTGCACAAAAATACGTATACTTAAAAAAACTTGGGGCTGGAGAGATGGTTCAGCAGTTAAGAGCACTGACTGCTCTTACAGGGCACCTGGGTTCGATTCCCAGCACCCACATGGTGGCTATGAACTGGCTTAGCTCCAGTTCTAGGGGAACCTGATGCCCTCCTCTGACCTCTGTGGGACTATATAACATGGTGCACTCACATAATGCAGGCAATACATTCATACACATAAAATAAAAATAATAGATAAAATATTAAAAAAAAAATAAAAAGCTGGGCATGGTGGTAGTGCATGTGTTAATCCCAGCAGCATTTGGGAGGCAGTGGCGAGACTCTCTGTGAGATCAAGGCCACCCTAGTCTATATAGCAACTTCTAGGCCAACTGAGGCTACAGGGAGACCTGTCTCAAAAAGACCAAAAAAAACCCTAACCCCCCCCAAAAACAGTTCTGTCTTTCACCATGGTTTAAACAAAGTCTTCCTTTGTACATGACTCTCAGAGTCACATGTCACTGAATCCTGTGGGTTTGGTGGCCTGCAGCCATGGTCCTTATTTCATCAATGTGGTATAACTTGCTGGGAAATTAATAATCTGTTTTAATTTGATGCATGGGGATAACATGACATTGCATAAGTAATTGTCTTCAGCATCGCCAGGACCCCAGCAGATCTCAGAGCTCAGAGTTCTGCTGCCATCCCTTTCAGTGTAAAATGGTGAATGGTGGTTAAGTGGGAACACCAGGCGCTTCATGGGAGCCTGGTCTTTTGGATGTACATGAACTCCTTCCATTTCCCAGGAGCAGCAGAGACCTGACTCTCCCACAAGTACTTGTGAGGAAGCATGCCAGTGATCTGCTGTGGACCTGAACTTGGAAATGAATTGTGTCATCTGGAGTTGGCCTGGTAACTCCTCCTCCTCCACATTTCAAAGGCAGATTCTTTGAGGCACTGTTGTGGCTGCCATCCCCAGTTCCTGACTCTTTGTTTTTGTGCTAATGCAAGTGTCATTGAGGATACTTTCTGCTAGCTCTCCTCTTTCATACCAGAAAGTCAGAGCTGGTGTGCAGGGCAGCAGTGTCAGTGGACTTGTGAACTGAGGCCTTTTCTCTCAGCTTTCGCCCTCTCTTTCTTTTCCTCTTCTCTTCTCCCATGTGCCTCTCACACATACTCTTCACAATGCCTTTGCCATGATGTGGTAGCCAGGGGTTCCTCACCAATGGGGCTGTTTGGTCTTGCTCTTTCAGCTTCTGTCTTGAGCTTGCCGTCCTCCTCCATGAGCTATCTAAGTCCTGGGGTGACAAGAGTGTACCACCATACTTAGTTCTCCCCATCAAACCTTGTTGTCTCGATTTGTCTAATGAGTAGCTCACTTTCAGAAGTGAATGTGGGTCTGTTGGGGTCAAGAGTCAGTTTGGGAAATTCCTTTTCAATGTTGAGTTTTCTTTGGGTTTTCTGGGTCCCCTTCTTTATAAACCTACTAAGGAGCCAGGCATGGTGGCACATACCAGTAATTGGAGCGCTCCAGAGGTCGAGGCAGGAAATTTGAGGTCAGCCTTAGCTACATGAGACCATGTCTAAAAAAACCCAAACTAAACCAAAACCAAAACCAAACCAACACACACACACACACACACACACACACACACACATACACACACACACACGTGAGGAGGGGGGTTACTTCCAAGAAAATCCAGCGCCAGGGCCTTAGTGTAGGCCTCTGCCAGCCACTTTGGGCTCCTGGATGTGAGCTTCAGTGTTTCTCAGTGGTCTCAGTGTCTTCCTGGATGCTTCATGAACCTCACATGTTGGAGCTGCGTGGTAAGCATTCCCCAGAGGTGCCTAGGTTTGCTGAGCCTCCTTTTCTCTTGTTTCCATCTTGCCTGCCTTGAGGAATGGCTACCTTAGAGGAACTGGTATAGGATAAGCCACAGTGCCCTTAATTGGCTTTCATCAGGTGAGGGCAGCTGCTGGTCAGAGGCAAGCTGCCTTTGAGGTGACTGCGACCTTGTCCTCTGAACCTTAGTGCTTCCAGAGACACAGGGATAGCCTGGTGTTTGGGGGTTGTTGGCAGGATATGGTGATAGTCTCATTGGAAACAGTAACTGTATGTGACTCAGATGAGTGGCCTAGTCCCCCAGTACCCTGAACCTTCACCCTTTTCCTCACCTCATCCTTCCTCAAGCTCTAACCTCCTGTCTGCAGCTCCCCTTGTTTGCTCACAGACTAGAATCCTGGTCTCTTGTTCCTTGTCTCTGATAACACCTTTGCAGCAGATTCTGTGCCTGGTTTCCCCTCCTGCCTCTGCTTAGCAGGAGCTTTCCACCTGTACCCTGAAGAAGTTTTGGGTAGAGGCTCTGGTTGTTTTCTGCTGATTCAAATGCTCTAGGCCACCAGTGCCAATTAGAAGCATGGAACAGAGCAGACTAGCTTATCCCTTGGGTGGCTGCCAAGGGCTTCATTGTCATGTCTGTTGGCTGTGTTAATTAACCATTCACCGGCTGCTAGACTAGCCTTGGTTGATTAAAACCTCTCCTTGCAGTGAGTGATTAAAATCCTCCAGAGGGAGGAGGGCCAAGGTTTATCATCTGACATCAGGTCAGTGGCTTCTTGTGGTTGTTAAAACCATTGGATCAGCCCTTTGGGACAGAATGAGGAAAGTAGAATCAAGAGAGGATTGGATAGAGATGATTCCTCCCACCCCCCCATTGACTACTAGACTGGGTGCTTGATGTAGCACAGTGGTTATGACCCTTGGCTTAGGAGTCAGGCAGGGTTGACATTCTGCTCAATGACTTGTCAGACAGGAGCTGTGATGGAAACAGCTCCTCTCTGACCCTCTGTTTCCTCATGTGTAAGATGAGATATTTACAGGACCTGCCTCACAGGAGGAAAAGTTCCAGGCCCAGCACATGGCAGCCTGCATGAGTGTTAGATGAACACAGCAATAGTTTTCCAGAATGGGTGATAGTGTCCTTATTTTTTGGAGAATGAAGGTGGCTCAAATTAGTTAATTATTTGCCCAGGTTCCCACAGCCAATAGAGGCAGAGCTGAGGATTCTAATCCAAGTCAGACTGGCTTCCAGTTCCTGGCTCTTCTAGACCCCCTTTACCAGCAAGCCTGCATCCATCATTGCTCCTCTGTAGACTTGAGTTAGCTAGAGTGGACGTGACAGGAGAGCATAGACAGTGCTCAGTGGATCCACAAGGCTGCTGCATTAGCCCTGTTTATAGATGCGAAGCACTGTATTTCAAGACTTGGGACTTAGCTCAGTAGGTTCAATCTCCAATACCACAAAATGCAAACAAAATAGTGCACTTCCTTTTGATGAGAGAGAGGCACAGCTTCAAAGTAGTGACTGAGCACAGTGATAATGTTGGAAATCACTATACAGTTAACGCTGCATGCCTGCCAGGGACAGCTGCATTTGGTGGGAGTTAGGATACAGGGAGGACTCAGTTAATTTAGTGACTGGTGCTTTTGTGTAATATATTTACATACATATATAATCTCCACTTAACAGTTGGTGAAGTAGGGGTTTCTAGTTTAAACTGCAGCCTGCTGCTCCGGCCCCACATTTTCACCACTGACCTTGGCTGAAGCTGAGTGCCATGGCCTCTGCAGGTGGCAAATATGCTCTCATGCATCCTAGTCCCCACCCCTCCCTGCTGCCCCTGCAAGCCTGAGGCAGAGTGTAGTTGTTGTCTATTGCTTCTCAAGGCTACTGCGTCCTCATTGTTAGCATAAAGAGGAGAATGTGTTTTGTTCCCACATCCTGATATTTTACTTCCATCCTTTTGGGATCATAGTCCAGAATAAAGGACATAAATTTTGAACATGCTAGGTTTGTAAAAATTTACTTCCCTGTGGTGCTAAATGAGGATGATTCATTTTGTGTGCGCTTGTGTGTGGGTGTACAGGTGTGCATATGTGGAGGACAGAGGTTGATGTTGGGTATCTTCTTTTGTTGCTTTCTACCTTATTTATATATTTATTTTTGAGATAGGTCTCTTGTAGAATATAGGTGATTTTTTTTTTTTTGAGACAAGGTCTCCCTGTAGCCACAGCTGAAACTCACTATATAGATCAGGCTGGCCTCAATGTCAGAGAGATCCACCTGCTGAAATGCATGCACCACCATGCTCAGCCCTCTTATAGAATCTAGAGCTCACCAATTGGCTAAGTTGACTGACCAGTGAGGTCCAGGGATCCTCCTGTCTCTGCCTCCCAGTTCTAGGATTTCAGACTTGTGCTGCCACATTTGG